GTAGGGATCTTAGCTGAGCTCTGAACCAGGTTGCTGTTATGGGAAGGTTGACTGGAGTGAGAAATAGAGGTCCGTTAAGATTTCCTTTTTGCAGCGGAGGCGAGTGTAACGCATAAAGGATTTGTAGGGGCAGAGAGATGTGTCCGAGCGAGCTATTACTATATTGCAGGCTCCTTTGATTTTTGAATGTTTGAGACGGAGGTTGAAATGGTCAGGGGACATTATGTTGGGTGAAAAAGAGCGACCTTTGTGTAATGCTTCCACTACGTTGAGATTATCACACGTGACAGAGATCCTCTTTCTCTGCCACGCGTGATTCCACAGCGCGCAGGCCACGACCACTGGGAATATCACGTGTAGGGCAGAGGAGATGCTCCGGTGGAAAGTAGCGGCCACGCTCGGCAAACCAATGGTCCTGGAAGAATCCCCCAAAAACCCACGGAAGGGGCAGCGTCCGTGTAGAAGCGGAGACCTGTAGGGGCAGAGACATGTCGGAGAGGGCCATTGAAGTTGCAGGCGCCCTTACGCTTAGAATCTTGGGTTGGAGAGTAGAAATCAGGATAGTAGGATGGTCGGGAAAGCCGTGTCTCGGACCGCATGAAGGTTGAGTGAGCAATTGTGAAACGCTTACGCAGAGAAGCCATAGAAGGAGGGCAGGAAGATGCTGCGAGGAGGGCAGACATGTACTTGGAAGATGAGCCGGAGTTCAGCGCCGCTGCAGGATGGGCAGCATGATGGGGAGCCTGCGATCAGAAGAGTGAAGAATACAGGTATGGATGCCTTTGATTAGGAGTCCGATTGACGGCTCAGCGCAGCTACTCGGCCAGCTGCATCTGATAGAATCAGAAGATTAAGTAGAGAGATGAAGCATGACCGCCGAAGCGACCCTGGGAGCATAGGTGCGAGTCCAGCGCAGCGCGGCATGCTCAGCCGGGCTGCATCCATTAGAAGCAGGATAAGCTTCTGAGAGAGTGGGTTGCAGCAGTAGCAGTAGCAGCAGCGGCAGCAGCAGCAACCTCAGATAATAACGGCAATAGTCCTGTATCAAGCCGCGACAGTAGCAGCAGCAGCAGCAGCAGCAGCAGTAGCAGTATGAAGCAGCAGCAGCCGCAGCGGTTGCAGCATCCTTAGAAAATAACAGTAATAATCCTGTATCAAAGCCACAGCAGTAGAATGTTGTTGTAGCTGTTCAGTGTTTCAGTAAAAGAGATGGCAAGGTAAATGAAGCAGCAGCAGCAGTAGTAGCAGCAGTATGCAGCAGCAGCAGCAGTAGCAGTAGCAGTATGCAGCAGCAGCAGTAGCAGCAGCAGCAGCTGCAGCATCCGTAGAAAATAACAGCAATAATCCAGTATCAAAGCCAGAGCAGTAGAATATTGTTGTAGCTGTTTAGTGTTTCAGTAAAAGAGATGCGAAGTGAAGAGAGATGTCAAAGTACATGAAGCAGCAGCAGCACGGCAGCAGATGCAGTATGAAGCAGCAACAGTAGCAGCAGTAGCAGCAGTAGCGGTAGCAGTATGAAGCAGCAGAAGCAGCATTAGCAGGAGCAGCAGCACCACAATGCGATTCATGCGTGCCCCGCTTGTCTCCGTGAGCCAGGTTACATACGTGTCTGAAAGAGCCGAGCCGTAGAGACAGGTGCAGCCTAGGAGCCAGCGGAGCGGCAGTGGCAGGAACAGCAGCAGCGGCACATGCAGTAGTAGGAGCAGCAGGAGCAGGCAGCAGGGACAGACAGCAGCAGGAGCGGCAGCAGGAACAGGCAGCAGCAGGAGCGGCAGCAGGAGCAGGCAGCAGCAGGAGCGGCAGTGGGAACAGGCATCAGCGGGATCAGGCATCAGTAGGAACGGCAGCAGGGACCGGCAGCAGCGGCGGTCAGAGAACCATGCCCATGGTTGTTGAACAGCCTGAGGAAATAATCAACCCGAATCCGAAACATCAGCCATGCGAATAACAGATGTCCCCTGGAGCCATCTCGCTGCTTTGGTTATGGCAGAGACGCATGAACGATCACTTTTCCACGCGTTCATTAGCTCCAACACCACTTCACACCCATTGCAGATTCACATTGGCCCTTTTTCTTTCTGCTGCACTTTCAAAATGCAACAACTGCAGTTTAGTTACCCAATTTAATACTAGTGACCTAGCTATTTAAATGCATGGCCCCTCTTTCCTCCCGCAGATAGACGGATTTAAATACATTCATTTAACAATAGTGACCTGCGAGTAATGAGATTAATGGCGTAAAGATGGCGCCGTGGCAAGAGCTCTGGTGTGTGCCGTCTGGAGCACGATGGGGTAGTCTTTGCACATGTTTTCCAACGTGGTTTTACTGCAAGTGGCAGAACATGAATCTGAATTGATGCACACTGCTCCTCCTATATCCCTTAGACAATAGAGATTTGATGCCATTTAAGATGCATTGTCCCTCAGTTAGCTCAAACACGTGTGAAAACGGAGCCTGCAGACCAAGCACGGGGCGAAAACTGGCGCCTGTAGTCAAGTGCGCAGGGCAAACCAGCCGCTTGCAGCCCAGACTCAGGGATTAATCCGTCCGCGGTCGGCACACTCACTGTACTCACATGCCAGGAGACGTGGGAAAAGCAACGGGACAACGCGGCACCGCCAGTCGGAGGCAGGGACACGCACGGCACCGCCAGACCGTCTGCGCGCGGCAGCAGACCACGAGGAACGAGCAGCACAGGACCCGCGGAGGGGCCCCGCGGAGCAGCCCGCAGAAGAGCCCGCAGAGGAGGAGAGCAGTGGGGATATGCGAACCACAGCAGGTGCAGGGACGCGGAGGAGGAGCAGACCACGAGCAGCCAGACTGAGGACAGCAGGGCCACGCGCACGAGCAACACGTGAGCAGAAAGCGACCCCTCCAGAACAACGCATGCATTTGCGAACAGGTGCGTTAGCGACATGCACCTTGCAGACTTCAGAAGGCCGGGAAGTGGGAGTCTCCGGCTTTTAACTTGCTGTCCTGGTGGTTATTGGTTGACTGGATGTGGGCGTTGCTGGTATTGATGAGTCGAGGAAGAGCAGCCTGTGGCCTGGGCAGCAGCAGCCGGGTCTACCACAGTGAACTTTCGCGAAAGCTCCATGTGTATAATGTGATTGGTGGATTTACCCAGTATGGTATTGTCTCTGTCTTATTGTTTGTCCTGTGTGTCTGGGTGAGGGGGGTCTGGATTAATATAAGTATTTTTCAATACTTATAGTTTCCTCAACCATTTTGGAGATAACTTTATCAACTCGAAACATGCTTGGAACTTAAATCTACATCTTTGGGACATCTCACTTGGTTTTAGGCACTAGGGGTTAAAAAAACATAAAACGATAATCAGTGATCGTACACCTTAGGAAAAAAACGCATTCATTTCGTCATGGTGTGTTAAAAACATTTGAAAAACAAAAAATATAGTCTAAATTCAAAGCCAGTCCAATCCAGTTCCCCAAAGGGCCATTTGTGGGCGTCAAGTTGAAGGGCACTACAAGCCGGGATTTCTAATGAATAACTGCGGGGAAGGCTCTCAAACTCCCACTCCGGCTCTGGCGCTCACAGCTTCCCTCCGTCTCCGCGGCCTCTTGATGTGCTCGATGTGCCTCCCCTTCTCCATATGCCTCCAGGCGCTCCCCTAGGACTGGTGCAACTCCCGGCCAATCCCCCCCAATCCGTCACTGAGCACCGACCCCTACAGGGACCGCGTGGTGAGCCTTGTTTAGACGGTTTTATACATCTGCGACCAAGTTCACGTCGGGAAAATCAGCTTCATGTTGGAGATAAAGTGAGAGGAAGATCTGTTCTTGTTTATAGATGGCGCAGTATTTATAGATAACACATGGGTGCGTTTGCAATTTGAACTTATGAATGTTGCTCTGGGGAAAACGCCGGGAATGGGTCCAGCTTCTGTCTTGACAAATGTATGAGGGACAAATGAGAAACATGTATCAATATTTATAGTTTATATGTTGCTGGGTGTATGCAGTGTATTTTTGTATACTGTATATTTTGTGAAAGCAGCCTGCACCAACTGGGGTTCTACATATCCCATATTGTTTTTGTTTTATTTAAATTATTTTTATTATTTTGTATTGTTTTTTTTATACTTTTTTTGGTTAAATCAGGACCATGACTTCGTTTTATTTATTTATTTATTTTTTTTTCCTGTGACAAAGTTTGCGAACATTAGCAACTATAAATATTGACCACTTCAGTAAATTGATCTACCATAATTTCATAATAATACCAATGCATTATAACAGAAAACAGAAAAACTGTGTACGCAAAACAGAAATCTTCTACCATTCTGTTTTTTATTCTGTGTTTGTTGTAATTTGTGGTTAACTGACATTTTAGAGCCAAAATATTTCCCTGACTGTTAAAGTGGGACAAGTTTGGCATTTAACACAGTCATCTTACTCCAAAAAAAGTTGTTTTGTTTGAAGTGACTTTAATAAAAGGTACAAGAAGAGTTTGCACTTTCAAACCACAAAAAAGGAACTAAATGTCTATACAGCTGAAAAATATCTCTAAAGGAAACAGCATACAGGCCATCGTGATCTTTGCCCAATCAAAGCCTAACCCCACACTGACAACCTTAACAGAGAAAGGTTTTGGGTATGTGGTTTGAGTTGGGTTCCCTAACTTTAAAATCACAAACTACCTCTGCAAAAACAAAAAAGGAAGTAAACTAGTTAATCTCTCTCTCAACAGTTTTCACATTCATGTATTTGTTTGGCCTCTGTCACATCTATAGATAAGCGTTTTCAGAAAGGACAGTGTACAAGAGAGGACCACCCTCAACTAATCAGCTCTCAGCCTCAAGCGCCAATTCATGACACACATGGTTCTTTAAGTATGCAAACGACCACATTCTTCAATAATAAGATATAGACAGCATGGTATGGTCTGATTTGTTCAAACCTTTTTTCTTTTTTCAAGACTCTGTCTATTAGAACGAATACAATGAGTTAGTAATGAAAACAAGTGAAGTATCACAGCTTTAAATGGTACAGATTGTGCGTGAGTGAATGGCTTTGGTGCCCGTGGACTGATTCAGCACCACGGACAGCGCTCTCCCTCTCTCTGACTTGGTGCGTGTCCTTTCTCTCCCCTCTCCAGCTCGCTCTTCCGGGCGCACACTCGGCAGCTGGCTGAGACTCTGCTCCTCCTCCAGTTTGGTGGCTTTCCCGACCAAACATCCTTTGGACGTGAACTGTTTCGCTGAGGAGATCTTTTTTTCTTGTTCTTTGGTTTCTAACAACTCCAGCTTCTGACACGCGCGACAAAAAGGCGACACTTAAGTCCCAGTGTTCTCACCCTGGCATCGGCCTGAGCTGCCTTTTGTTCCTGAGTATGGAGACTTGGGCTGGCTCGTGCCCAGGCGTGCGCTTCGCTTCTTTGGGTCTGTGGCTGCTCCTCTCCGCTGTCAGCCTGCGTTCTGCTGAGGCGGACATTACATGCGCGTCCTGTCCGTCTCCTATTCAACTTTGCAATGAGGAATTACGACTGGACGCGCGCCTTGCCGAGTCCACCGAGGAGCCAGGGATGCTTAGACAAATACAAGTGGAGTTCCAAGACCAAGAGGGTATAACGCAGTTTCCTAACGAGGGTGGAATACATGGAGAAAGTGATAACATGAAGGAAAGTCCTGGGAAGGCATTTTTCCGCAGGGAGAAACGGAGCGAGTTTGCTGACTTGTCATGGAGCGAGGGACTGGATTTCGGCGCGTCCGAGGGTCGTGGCGCGTTGCTGGATGGACATAAACCGAGCAGGTCCGATCTGAGGTGGAACAGAGACGAGGGGAAGGGAAATAACCGCCAAGACGAGCACAAACTGTCCAGCAGCACTTTCTCGTTGACTGGGGACTCTGCGCACAACCACGCGGTCGTTTACTGGTCCGGACAAAACAGCAGCGTGAGTACAAACTTTACGTCAAATAAAGTGGAAATAGTGACGTTTGTTTTTGTTTGCTTTGCATTGACGAAAGCTGGTGTTTGCAATGTGTTTGTGCAAGTGTAATAATGAGCTAAAGCAACGCGCGCGCCACAATGCGTTTTTTGGAAACTTTCCCTGTGCCATTACGCACGGCCCTCCCACCGCTGACCTCCTATATTCCCCGTCTCTAAATTATCTTTCTCCATTGATTGATTGAGCTCTTATTTATAGCTCAGAGTGGAGTAAAAATACATCTGATTTATCTGTACCAATTGTAGATTATGCTTATGCATGATTCATCAATCCTTTCCTCTGATGCGCTGGTGGTTTTTCATCCAAATTAATTGATTGGGGAAAGAGGGACTCATAAATTATTGCCTACCTCACTGCACTGCCCGCTGCTTAAGGCGTGTAGGTTCTGGGGTCTCTTGGTGATTCTTCATGCTCCATCAGGTTTGGTCAATAGATAAACACCTGGACACAACTGGAGTACATTATCTGAGAAGCTATATGCATATTCGGGACATTAAGACCAGATTTGCATTTTAACATTGGGGGCATTTTCCGAGTACGCTCTTTGCATCATACGGCAGACAGTTCAAGGAGCTACCATATTGTTTCCAATGGGAGCAGTTCAGTTCATTGTGCTATATACTCCCTTCTCTAATGTGCAGCTTACACACTGCACAGAGACATTGTAGTTCGAAACCTCCAAACTTCCCCTAAAGGCTGCATTTGAACAAAAACAAGAAACTATTTGCTTATATGACATTCTCATACACAGTGGTCAAATCTACAGCTATTTGAGAATTTACCGGCTTAAAAAATGTGGTGGTTGCTTTTGCCTATGCTGTTTTTTTTTGGCAGAGAAGATCCACGATTTCAGTCTTCTTGTCTGGCTTGATTATGACACGCTGCATGAACTTGTTTTTTTAACCCGCAGTGAAGACTCGGGCAAACAGAAAGCTTTATCTGTGCTCGGACAAAAAGAGAGAATGAGAAAAAGAGAGAGATGTAGAAAAGGGTGAGGAGGTTATAGCAATGTGACAATGCATTTCAGAACCAGATCTTTAGTCATAATTTGCTTGAAACTCACACTGAGGCTATTATTAATACAAAAAAAGTGGTGTTTTTGTTGTTGAGGGAAAACAGTGGAAGGGAATGGGGCTCTTTGCCTGAAGCGAATCCTCTGGAGATGTGTTACTTCATCTTCATTGAGCTGTTGGCGCTGGCTGCGGAGATGAATGAAGTGGCGGGATTGTGAGATTGAGCTTAAAGGCCTCACACTCACTTGGCTGGTGGTTAAGGTGGAGTGAGAAGAAGAAGTGGGCGGCCATTAGAAAGACAAATGGAGCCGATGGATGAGCGGCCCGTGCCAGACACCTCGGTCTTTGTGGCTGTCACATGCCATGGCAGTCAAGTCGGCTGTTTCACATGATGAGATATGCCCCACATTAGGCTGGATCATTTCCTCTGGAGCTGTTTTTGGAGGACTCTGACGACACGGGGGCCATCGCTCTTTCGTCACTTTGTCGATTCATTGAACGTTGGTTTCTTGGTCAATCAGATTTTGGGTTGGTTCGGAATCAGATTCAGATTTTACATTGATTTATCCAACCCAAAGCAGTTCATTTGAGCAGCACAGGGCATAAAAACATAGAAAAAAAAAGGGCAGGGGAAGTTTTTTTTTTATTCATGTATTTATTTATTTGATATGGACACAACAGTTACATTGGACAGACCAGATGCACTGCCTTAAGTGTTATAGCAAGACCGCTAATGCTAACTTTCAACACTTGTCCATAGAAGGCTTTAAGGACACAAATCCACACGTTTAAAATTTACAAATATATAGAAGTAATTGAATATACAGTTCATTAATCATGTTTTTCAGCCACAGTTTCAGACGTCTGACGAAGATGTTTAAGTCTGTTTGTAGTTAGTGGGAAGAGCGTTCCACTCGTTTATTTGTAAAGCACAGTTCACATACAAGGCAACTCAACATCCTAACACTGCAATCAAAATAAAAGAAGATACGAGATAATAATTGTTTGAATCAAGTTTTTTTTGTCTTGCTCGATAAAAAGCCCACTTTGTGGCACCATTGCAAAGTTCAGGAAAAATATAATCTTTTAAGTTTAGATAATTTTATAACATACTTTTTTATTAAACTAGTCTTTAAATGTATAAACAACCTCGCTCCCAATATCGCTGCAGGAATGATTGAGAAATGTGTAGCTCACAGGATGACCACTAGGGGCGCTGCCAATAGAGACTGCAGAGCAACAAGATGTAAAACATAATTTGGACAGACTGCGTTCGCAGTGAAAGGGCCACAACTTTGGAACACGTTACCTGCAGAACTGAAAGCCCTAATAGACTTGAAGGAGTTTAAAATTAAAGTCAAACTATGGCTCAAAAGGACCCAAACTTGTGAGCATAATGCAAGACTGTAATCATTTATAGTATTTTTTTATTTTTTATTTTTTTTTGTATTTGGTATTGTATTTTGTATTGTATTCTTGTTTATTATTTAGTATAACTTATTACTTATTTTTTTAATATAATGATGTATGTATAATGTAAATGTGATGTATTTCTAGGTTTTAGGGACCAGGTCTGCAAACTAGCTGTTAGCTATACGGCCTATGAACACAGCATCGGTTCCTGTAACAATGCTTCTTGTTCTGTCCCTACCAAATAAACAAATAATAATAATAATAAGTACATTCTGACTGTCTTAAAACAAGATGTGCCAATAGGACCAAGCCATTTCGTCTTATTTCAAGATCTGTTGATTTTTTTGTATTAAGAGTTAGGATTATTTAGCTTAGTACGTTCTAGTATGAACACACAACCGACAATTAACAGTAAATAATATCAAGTGTACAGAGGTATGATAATATAAAGTGACAGAATCAACACTTTGACATTTCTCTATAGTTCAAGTCAATATACAGCTATTTGCTAACTGTGCTAACTGGTGGATACAAGAAAGAACAAGAAAATAAGTCACTAAATGTTGCTGGTGTTTTTGAGTGCTTGTTATTCTTGTTTTTAAAGGCAAAAAATAATTACAAGATATCAAGTCGACAAACGCAATCGCTGAAATTCTGGCTTCCTGGAGATTTTCTTTCCAAAACTGATGGAACAAGTCTGTTTCCACTGTGCCCTAAAACACTTGAAACGTGATTTAAACCGCTATCTGAAAATCTCATTACATGAACAAGGTAATTCGAGTTCACATTTGTTTTAAAAGCTATATTTCTGTTGTGCTTTAAAGATCCAATAACACAGCATGATCCACCACAACTTGGAAAATTGGAGAATCATTAAAAAGCTCATTAATTTCTGTTATTAAACTCAAATTTCGAAATTGATTTCGCAGATAATATAGACCCATTATTTAACTTACTTTGTTATTTGTGTTTATTATGGTTTAGTCAATTAGTTAGTTAGATTAAATACAAATCTAAAAACGGGGTTTGATGAAGCAGACACAACCTTTATTCTAACCCCCTCTCACCCACATTCTTCTACACACAATAATATAGAACACAATTAATCAACCTTTTCAATGCAATTATGATACAGTAATACACAACACCTTACAATGAGGCATGAGCGACGCACACACCAAACCAGTGGGAGCTGACATGGTTGCAATCTCTCTCCGAGCTGGTGGGGGTGTACCCGGAAAGAGAATTACCTAATGCTTTTGTATGGCGTCTTCTTTCCTCTCAAACGGCTTTACAGGATGGTCCAAAAGTCGGCTGTTGGCCCAACGCTATGTTCTAGCTGTGTAGCGGAGTATATATATATATTTTTTTGGACCAGTCGAGTTTAGCCTCTGTGAACTTTTGAAGGCACTTGTTCAAAGGGCCTTGTTTCATTGTCTTATTTCAGGAACTGTTGCTTCATTTTCTGATTCCAAGGGAGCCTTGGGATTTCTGGAATCTTTTTAAAACAAGATAATTTTGTTCGTGCCATTAGCAAATCTAGTTTTAAGGTCAGAATGTTGCCAAATTAAGATATGTTCCCAAATTTGAGAAATGTTAGACTTACCACTTTTTGTAGTGTATGAGCCAATTATCAAGATAACAAAATAAGAATTTATCTGCCTTTACATATAATGAGTCTTTCATGTATTTGTTTCACATTTCAAGTTGAATTACAATAATAATAATAATAATAATAATAGTAATAAGGAAAATAATAATAAGAAAATTTAGTGTTTCATTTGTATTATGGACCCAGAGAAGACGTCTGAAATGCTATTTGGGACAGCAATACATACTGTATATTCCCATGCAGACAAGCCAACGACAGACATTTTGCAACAAATTTACAAAGATTCAAACCATTTTATTCCAGAAATATCAATGTCATCCATCATGCAATATTCAGCAAAGCATCAACAAGACGTGGGGCTAGACCCTCTGTGAGAAATGCCACGTTACATCAAAGTCTTCCTCAATGGACAATACTAAACATGTCACACTACTTCCAGAGAACAATCCCCAGTGTGCTATGAATGATACTTTTGATTATAGTCCAGTCATGTTTCCCTCCAGGCGTCTCAAGCTGATGAAGCAGCCCACATTCTCACTTAGCCCCACATGAAGAATTAAAATCTGCTAATTGACAAACGTCCAACTGTGCTTCTTGGCTTGGGATGAAACTTGCGTCTGTGTGTGTGTTCAGCTGGCTTGAGTAGCTTCACAATCCAGCAGAACAGATTATTTTTTTCTATTTAATATATTTCATTCTTTAAAACTGCACTAACTGACTTCATTTTCGTATTCATTACGAAAATGCTATCCATGTCCATGTAGTGCATTGGGATATACGTCCTTTTGAAGAAAGGAGCCCCCACTTTCGTGAGAGATTTACAGGTCCGTCGTTAGCACAGATAGCTGAGTTAGCACAACAAGCGGCGAAGCTAACCTGAAACTTCCTCGTCTTCGTCACCGGTTACGGCTTACACTGCAGCGAGACAGCCATCCAAAAGAAAGTCTTGTTCCTCTGCGCTTCCCGGTTCTATCGTTCTATGGTCACGCCATCCACGTGCAAATCCATATCCATTTATTATCCATATTGGGAGACGCTAGCTCCGTCCCAACAGTGGGTGTGTGTGGGGGGGCGATAGCTTCGTGGGTGCGGGGAGGGGAGCAGAAAGAGAGAGGCCAGCGAGTCCGCGGCTTCAAAATCCCAAAGTCAGTTAGTGCAACTTTAAATTATAAACAAATATAACAAAAGCATACACATACACAAACATATGATACTTATGGGGCGGCACGGTGGTTGTGTGGATAACACTCTCGCCTCTCAGCAAGAAGCTGCTATGGTTGAATCCCAATCGGAACTGGGGCTTTCTGAGTGAAGTGTGCATGTTCACCAGATACAGAAGAGTAGGACTGAGGAGCACAAAGCCCAAAATAAAAGAACAATAACTCTATATGAAATAGAATAAAACACAACGTCTAGCATGAAGTATACAATACACTACACAATACAATGTATTCTTGTATAGCCCTAAATCACAACAGCAGTCATCTCAGAGGACTTAACAAAACCATTGAAACCACCAACACAGATCAGAGAATCAACAGTTAAGACACAAAAAAGAAAACAGATTTTTTGCTTGTCCCATTTTAAAATCTCGTTTTAAGGCAGTCAAAATGTGCTCAAATTAAGTTTAACATTCTGACATTTTTCATGACTTTTTCCAGTGCATGTGTGTATGTACGTATATTTCTGTGTGTCTGTGTTTGTGTGTGTGTGTGTGTGTGTGTGTGTGTGTGTGTGTGTGTGTGTGTGTGTGTGTGTTCTAATGGCTTGAGTAGCCTCACAGCAGCTTCAACTGCCATAACTCCTGTGGTATAGTGGTGGCCTTTCCTCTTGTGTGTGTGATGCGGTCCAGATTGGGGTCTTGTCTGCAGCGTGACTCGCTCAGGGGGGAGAAAGTCGGCCCATGTGGAGTCCTTGGGGGATGCTGTGTCCTGTGAGGCGTGTGCACAGGACCAGTGCACTCAGTACCTGTCCAACTACTGCCCTTTCCACTGCTGGCTGTCTGTCCATCTCCGCTATGCTTCCCCTTCGCATGCCTGCAGCTCTTGCAGTTCATCATTTAAGCTTCAGTGAAGAAATTCTATATTTTCCATAATACACAAGTGCAGACGTGATGGCAGCAGGACAGGGGAAGGTATATTGTTGGAATATTAACTCTTGCACCAGTTAAAACTAAAAACAGTTTAGTATTGTTTCTATTGCCAAATTAGCACTTGTTTGTGTAAATCTCAAAGAGCAGTGAGTTCAAGGTTAGTCTGAAATGGGAGGGGGACAAGAGGGAGACAAGTGTTATCAGAGCAGGTGCAAACGTTGGCAGCTGGCCAGAAGAAGTCATAGAGTCCACGAATCTGTGATGTCAGTGACCTTGGGTGTACAGTATAAAAGATGTACAGGAGGAGGCACGGGGACTTTTTGCTTTTTCGTCTGACAAGGAGCAGTGAGACGTCCCCGGGGGCCACTCCTTTTCTGAGCGCGAAGCGAGACTTGTGTTCGCGGACCGTTATCTTGTAATATTGCTTGCAAAATCTTCAATATAACCTTTTTGAAATCAGGTTTGGTATCTGTCATTTCTATCACTGTTTTAACATTGGTTTTTGTCTCTTGTTGAACTAAAAGGACCTGCAGAACGAAGGGCTGTGTTTGCGGCCTCTCTGCAGCTTCTGGGGCGGGGGAATTCTGACAAATTACTGCAGAACTTGGCGTCGCTCGAACAGGATTTCGACAGGAGACACTAGGACCGGTCAGAGAAAAGATTAATTTGGCGCCAAAGTAAAACGGTAAGATTGTTACCAACTAATTAATCTTTCCTTTCACCTGACCTGAGACCTAAAAATAAAAAATAAAAACAAACAAACACCAAGTAGGGTAAATATTGAAGGATTTGCAAGTATTTTATATTTTATTGGGATAATAGTATTCTAAGTCTAAGTGACGTAAGAAAAGGAGAAAACTGTGTGTTTTATCTCAGTGATTGATAGTTAACCTAAAGGAAAGAAAACTGTGTGTGAGGATCTAAGTGATTTATGAGTTAAGGAGTCAACTGTGTGTTATCTCAGTGATTTAATAGTTGAAGGAGAAAACTGTGTGTTTTAATTAATTGACAATAAGGGAAAGGACAGGGACAGTGTCTAACTTTTCTCACTTTTTAATTTTTCTCTTGGTGTGAATGAGTGATTGATGTTTTCTGTTGAAAGTGACCATTGCACAAACGGTCACAGTGAACGCAGTAACTTGGGTCGCGTAGGACGGGGTCACGATTCGTGCGTACATTTCCCCACCACTTGTGGTTGAACGGGGAGATACCACGATCTGACGCTCTAAGATTACGCACCCAATTGCTGATTTTTTACATTGATATTGATAACACAAGGCTTGTAATCTAGACGGTAGAAAACATGGCATCTGTAACATTAGATGAGTGGATAAAGGGGATTATGATATTCTAATCTCAGGAGTATCTGAAGAGGCATGTACAGAAATCACTATGAAAGTACTTAGAGTAGTGGCAGAAAAGGGATTCAAAATTGATTATGACAAGTGTGCATTTGTAAGACAGAGAGTATCGTTTCTAAAGACTTATCTCACTTCAGAAGGAGTCATGTGTGACCAGTCAAGACTGATCAAACTATCAGAGTTTCCCAAACCAAAAACAGTGAGAGAAATGATGTCCTTCATAAATACGGCAAGCTATATCAGGAAATATATTTTCAACTTCTCCTACATGATGAAGCCCTTGCAGAAAATGTTGATTGATGTAGGCTACACAGATTATGATGGGATCTTGACATGGACTGAGGAGCAAGCACAGGCATTTCAATCAATCAAAGAAAACTATCAATGGTGCAGACTTTACACTGCGTTGATAGGAAATACCCAATTATGATGGAAATCACAATGACTGGAGATTATTATTGTGCAGTGTTGTTTCAGAAAATAGCAGATGCACCCAAAATATTGTACATATTCAGCTCCAATCTCAGAGGATCAGAAGCACACCACTTCTCATGTGCACGTTATGTAATGGCCCTTAACACTAGGAGCGCCCCTAGCGGTCAACTGACCGTCACTCACTTTATTATGCTAATTAGTGTATTCAAAACAAAACGCCAGAAGTTGAAATTTTATGACTTTTACTGGGTACTTGTGGTTTATATTTTGGTGTGTTTTGGTTTTGGAAAAAGTAAAGAAAACAAGATTTACACGCATTTTAACTTTTCTAAACCACAGCCCTTTCTGCTGCCCCATGGAGATACATGGCGCAGGGGCGACTGTTGTCATAGTAACCTTTCCCGGGGGTTTTTCGCGCCTTATAAAAATGTATCAATATGTTGTCATTAGACTCTAAAGGGACTTTTTTATTATTATTTGGGAGAGAGAGGAGTACAAAATGAATAGAGCTGCAAGTACACGGTATGAAGCCCTGACAGTGCTTCAAAACATTGAATGAGAACAGTCTGACGGAGGTGAGAGATGTCACATTTTGAGGTAGAAAGTGACAGCGGGGAGAACACCTATAATATTCTAAATCTGAACGTAAACCCATAGTGCATTCACGGCACAGACAGCAGTGTTGTAACAAGTCCAGAAGCAATAACTCACATGACCCTCGTAATGCCAGCCATACGCAGTGTCTGTGTGCGCGCTGTCGCTCCATTCTGCCTTTTCATTCATCATCAATTACATTATTATATTTATACATACAAGAAGGCAATAAAGCAGAATACAATATCGCAATAAAATAGAACAATTAGATGAACTATCAAGGCAGAGTGCAGATCAGAGTGCTCGTCACCCGCGGACACTGCAGGAGGAGAGCGACTGTGGCAGAGGCGGCCCTCATATATCAATAAGGATATAATTCTGATTTCATCCAGATAACACTGTGTGTTATTCTGCACAGCGCGCACTGCAAGGCAATGATTATAATTTTGTTCTGAGCATAAAGAGCACTGCTTGTCTCAAATAAATACAAATATATATATGCATATATTTGTCTTTCTAACGTGTCCCGTGTAAAATTGAAGATTTTAAATTGACGATGGTAGCCATAGCTGATGATCTTGTGTCAATACGAATACTATTATTATTATCTAGATAATATTTCCCACGGTGATTTCGGCCTCTAAAGAGAAAACAGTCTGGAGATGACGTAAGAAGTAGACGCATATAGCAGCGCGAAGACGTTATGGTCCCGTGCTTTTCTAAACTATAATTTATATTGTTTGAATTTACATATTGTTACTGAGTCAAATATAACATATAGTGACCAACCTTTTAGGTGTTTGCAAAGTTACAAAAATAAATCTAGCCAGAAAAGTCATCGTAATTTTGATGGATCAGTACACGCACAATGTGTCGTCTTAGTCTTTTATTTCGGCTAGAATTACAATTACTTAGCATATTTAGACAAATAATTTACACAGTTTCATTATGATCACGATTCCTTTGCAACATCAAGTTCTGGTTTAGTGAACAATCAATTTGGCAAAAGGCTGTATCAGCGCAAAATACATAGCGGTCAACTGACCGCAGGGGGCGGTGCAAGGTATGTTTAGAGCACGGCGGTCCTAGTGTTAAGAACTCACTGGTTTCCACATCACACATAATCTTGGACTCAGAGGTTATTGTGAGAACGCCACATAACATGTATGCAGCTTTGAAGGGGAACACATTTGCATTGACAAATTCAATGTCTCAAAAGATTCATCTGTTACTCGTAAATATGCAAGTTACATTTGAACCAACAGACTCTCCAATATTACCATTTACTATCTCAGGCCCAGTTCACCAGTGTGAGGTCCAACATAGTGAAGAAACAAACTTGATCAAAAAGTTGGGCAGGTCAGAGATTGAGGGGTCACATGCTATTTTTATAGATGGACACTCGCATAGAGACAAAACTGGAGCATTGGTTGCAAGCGCAGCAGCAGTCATCCATGACAGGGAAACATCACCTGTTACCAATCCTGATTTTAACATACTGAAGGCAGAGGCGCTGGCAGGGAAGTCAGCTCAGTATGCAGAATTAGTAGCATTTAGCCTGGCTTTGGAGAACAGGCCAGAAGGACCTATCACAATATATACTGACTCTGAGTATGTGCATTCTACAGTGCATTTACACTTGCCAATCTGGGTATTGCATGACAATTTCATCACAACAAAAAATTTGAGACCTACACATTTGGAATTATGGCAGAAGGTGGCAGACCAAATCAAGAATGTACGTCACAAAACTGCATTGGTCAAGTGCAGAGCACATACTCGAGCCAGAGACTTCGTGGCAAAGGGCAATGAGTTTGCTGATAGAGTTGCTAAAATGACAGCTGGGTATGACAGGATAGGTACGGCTCTGCAGGGAGTTATTGAAGACAATCCTGAGGGAACAGAGGCACCAGTTGAAGAAAGAGAAGAGAACAGTCCACACATATTGCAAGAAAATCCCTCACTGTATGATGTGACAGCATGGAAAACTGCAGGGGCCATTAAAAACAGTGAAGGAGTATTCTATGATACATTTGGTAAACCGTGCGTGACTACTAAAAAACTACTACAGATCATTCAAAGTAAGCATGAGGAAACACACATAAAGTGCTCAAAACTTTTTTCAGAACTAAGACGGCACATGTTCCATCCTTTTATGCTACCAACCATTCAGCATCTATGTGACTCATGTGACATATGTCAAGGGCTCTCTAAGGCAAGGGCGGTGAAGGCAGGGATAGGAGCATACCCAGTGCCTCCATGGCCCATGGCAGAAATCGTAATTGATTTCATCGACATGACTGCTGATAAGAAAGCGGATGGGTGTAGATACGTGCTCACAATGATTGACCCACTCACACGATGGCCTGAAGCTTTTCCTTTGGCAAAAGCAAATGCAGAATCAGTAGCCAAAGTATTCTTGACAGAGATCTTTCCAAGGTACGGCCCAGCGAGAGTTATCAGATCCGATAACGGCTCGCATTTTAAGAACCAGACAATGACCCAACTATGTGAGAGGCTGAATATAAAACAGCATTTTGGAGCAGTGTTACACCCGCAATCACAAGGGGTGATTGAAAGGTTCAACCAGA